CAGCAGATGTTGGCAATACTTCTAAGGCATCTGTAGTCAAACACTAGTAGCTTACGAACTGCCGTACAGTACACTCGTCTCGTAATTGATAGACGGATATCTCGCCTTTGCCATAGGTGATGTAAGTTGACAAAAGCCAAATGAGCTTTCTGAATTCACGAAGAGATTTCGTCAGACACTAACCCATTAGGGCTGATCAGACTTCCAAGATAAATGAAGTTGTCAACTCGTTCGACTACTTCACTCCCTATCCTTAGTTCAGGTGTTGACGCAGGTCAGTCCTTCTGTAAAGAAAAAATAAATGATGTCTTATTTTTTTTCTTCGATTCTGGTACGTAAACGAGCAGTATAACCAGTAGATAGTAAATGATAAGGCAATTTTCGAAATTGTTTAGTTTCTTACAAGCTGATATTTCACATGTTGACGCATAATAGCATTCTATAATGTTAAATTCAATCTAGAGTCGTCAAGTTACCTGAATCAGTCCTTGAATACTATCAATTAACATTCATATGTTTGATTAATGTTGAATAATATGAAATGTGATTTTGGATATAATGAAGTAATTTCTTTCAATTGTGAATCTGTCTTGATCCAAATTCATATATCAGTAAACAAATTATCAGACTGAGTTTTTGTGGAGATTGAAGTAATGTAACGGTTGAAACTATGAGTTGATCTAAGCTAGATCATCAATGAAAACCTGGAATCACTGGACGGTCGTTTCTTTCTAGTATAGAACTCCTCAACAATAGGCATCCACGTTCCCTCACGCGAGATTCGAATCAATAACCTACGGTTTTGTGGGTGAACGCTTGGCCCGTAGACCACTGAGCCGACCGGCATCCCACAGTGTTAATGCTTAACTTTGATCGGTCTATGCTCTTGCATAACTCTTCATTCATTATCTGAGATGGATAGTATTCAACAGCAAGACTGAAGCTCCTGGGTTCGAGTCCCGCGATCAAGATTGTAGATGAGCATTATTGTAGAGTCCCATACTAGATCAAAACAGCCGTCCAGTGCTACCAGGTTTTCAATGGTAATCTCTAACATTGATCAATTTATGAGTTCAACTGTTATAATAAATGAATGATCAAATTATGCTTGTTTTCATTCTTCGAATTGATAACTAATTCATTTAAACAATCATATATTATGAAAAGCATAGAACATCATTCATTTAGTTTGAATAACCGTTGTAGTTAATTGTCAATGTAGAACAATTGTAGATTTTAACCTAATAATTTAACCTCTCAAGAATTAATTTATTTCATTTGTTCCACATTAATCTACATTGTTATTATTTCCTTATGGAAAGTTCAATAATGAGTTTTATAATTAAAATGATTAAAAAAATTTAATTTCATCAAAATGAATTCAGTTGTTGATTCACAATTTAAGTAATATGTATATTTTAATGGTTAAGATCATGAATCAATTGAAGCTAGAACATCATAGAAAACCTGGAAGCACTGGAGACTCCTCAGCAGTGCTCATCCACGATCCCGATTCATGAGATTCCAATCCAGAACCTATCAGTCTCGCGCGCGAGCGCTTGACCTCCGGACCACTGATCAGGCATCAAATGGTGTTAATGTCTAACTTCAACTAATGCATGAAATTGAACGACACATCCACCATTGTCTCCAGTAAGTTACTATCTTATAACCAACCCAGTTGAACTCGACTGGTCACTAATTCTCACTAGAAATCCTGGATATAATATCCACAAAACCACTTCTGATATTAATATATGTATGATGATGGGAATAGTCAAGTTTGTTGTTGTTCAAATAAATAATGAATTTTGGTTGTGAAATATAAATATGGAGGGAAATACTACAACTACAACAACAACAACAACAACAACTACTACTACTACTACTACTACTGATAATAATAACAATAATAGTAATAGCAATAGTAATAGTAATAGTAATAATAATATACTGATGAGACAACCTCAATATATTCAGATTTTGGCTAGTATTTGATTGTATGATAAGGTTTTCATTTTTCATAGTTGTTGGTCACATATCTAACTTTATTGTTTTGCAAATAATAAGATATGCATATAAACAAAACAGAAGATAAATAACTGAATGTTTACAACTGAAAATTTCCAAAAGATAAACCTGTTTTCAAAATTCAATTTCTTATTATTTTATTCATATAATAACTGGATGAATTTTTGTTATAACTTGTGACCACCGATTAGAGAGCAGTGAATTATCGATCGGATCAAAGAAGCGTAAACCTGCATCAGAGCAGCCTAGAGTTCTGATCAGTCCTGCTTTCCATCTAGCCCAGCCAGTTAAGTCCAGAACACCAATCCGAGCCTCTGCGGTATGAATCATTATATTTCAAATATACTGGGTTTATGTACAAACCAGACAGACCACATCGTACTAATAAAATAGGAAACAACACTTGTATAAGATTTAACCAAAAGTGGATGTGAATGTGGGAGATAGTATTATTATTATTATTATCAGCTTTATTCAATATTATATTTTTGGTACAATATAGAATTCTCAGCGTAAAGTATTTCAACAAGTTTCCGTTTCTTTCTTCTTCGTCGGTCCTGGCGATAAATATTGAGTGATCGCCAGTTAGATGTTAGCAGTTCACTAAATGAACATCTGAATAATATGCATTCTTTTGGTTGTATATTGCCAGCAACCACATTGTCTCTTATTGAGTTGTTTGTAACTTTGACAACGAAAGGTTGTCCACTTTTCAGAAACGCAGCAGAATAGGTTGTGCGATTAATGAACATAATGATATATTAAAACAAACAAAAATAGATAACTTGTTGAAATATCTAGATGACAGGAACAGGTAGCCCAGATGCTCAAGCAGGCCGCCGAATAATTGATAGACTGAGCATAACTCAAGAATGGTAAAACGTACAATTATAATTCATGGATCAAAATAAAGCTTATAATAAGAGGAATATGGATATGCATAGTTTAGATACTTAATAATTATACGTTTAGTATCGGTCCATTAATAGACCCCAAAAGTTACCATTCATTATTCTTGTCGGGACATAACAATTTTAAGTATTATTTAATGAAATTGAAATTTCATGTTCAACGAATTGGGCACTGTATTATCTTAACATAATTTTTATTCTAATTATATGTTTGTATGTATCCCTAAACAGCAGCATCAGGAGCTTATTGTTAACTAAGAATCCTGAAAGGAAAAGAAAAACACTGGAAAACCAAGGAATAGACTGAGTCGGGAATTGGAAGCAAACATGAAAATGATGAATAACAACTGTAAAGGATTATCTAGGACAAAGTTGGATGGAGACTGTTGGTGGTTCCACGAGGAATGACAGGCGCAAGTAAGTAAGTAAGTATGTATATTGAAACATGTAATGTTTTCATTTGATATTCAATAACAAATACTCAAGTTCATAACGAGTAGTTACGAAAAAAACTATTAGTAAACTAAGTATGTTGCCATGTGAAAGTGTGACATTATGAAAAGTTTTAATTATTCTTGATTTAAGTGAACGTATGGATGTAAGAAATCCTGATCGTACACAAAATAAGACAATATTCAGTAAACGAATCCTAAAATAGGAGTTTTATATGTGCTACTTATAGATAAGTCATTTTACATACTGATATAAAATGAGAAACTAATAAAATCCGGGCTTGATTAATAAGTTGATAATGTATGATTACACAATAGATTAAGCCATGAACATTTGAATCTCGTTGTAAGTACGCTATTATTATTCATTTATTTGAACATATAAATATTGGTACAAAGGGGTACGGATTACTTATGCACCACAAAAGTCACTTGATTTGTGTGTGGACTGTGATACTTCCCGAGTGCTCAGACCGAAACAAATGATTTTCTTAGGTGACCACAAACGGAGTCCTCGACCTAAAGGTCTAATCCACAAGGCAATGGATCAACGTCAGAAGACACAGTCTTATGGTAGCTGATGACCAACAATACGTTCAAACGCTATTTCTTTCTTCAGGATACTGGAGCCCATGTGCACCATTGGTTCAGCATCAGCGTTTTCAAACTCCCCTAGGTAGAACCTCCATGTAAACAACAACCACGCCACAAGAAGGCAGTGGCTATGTGAAAGCCTTTCGAGAAGGAGAGCGAACTCTCCCGAACTTTCGACCGTACGATGGCCAGCCTATGAATCCAAATGTCATTATGAATATATATATTTATTTATATATTATAACTTCAGTTGATTCATGATCTTGTACGTTAAGTATGTATATTTAGCTTACAACAATAAAAGCAACTATTTGGGATATATGTATAGCTTTTTAATATGTAAACATGTTAAGGCTTTCATCCATTGCATTATTATGTTTTAATGTATAAAACTTACAATTCTGTTTCTTTTTTGTTTCAAATAGGTGTAGAAATCACCTTTATTTTCCGCTAACTACATTTGCAATGATCTGATTTCCGTGAGAATTCGACCTTCTATCTTTTTACATTATTGTTAGGCAATCAATCACAATGGTAAATACATAGCATCTTATTAATGTTAATAAACTTCGAAAGCAAAGAGAAATTATTTAACTTTTATAAGAGGGAATCAAACATTTTTAACATTCATTCGCAAGGAATAATGGTTGATTTATTGATGGAGTTTTGTTCTCTGAACTGGATGGTTTGGTCGTGGAGCTTTCATCATTCTTCTAAACGACATCATCAGCACAAACTACAGATAGAAGTAAAGTGTTCGAATTTCTCCATATACGTTTCAGAGCTTGTTCTGTACACCTCGACTTTGATTGGTTCTTATTATGTTGATGATGTCGTTCAGAAGAACAATGAAAGCTCCACGACCAAACTATCCAGCTTAAAGAACAAAACTTCGTCAAAATCAGCCACCTTAGCTACAAATCTTCTCCACCTTCTCAATGGTTGATTTATTTAACAACAACAACAACAACAACAATAGAGATATAAATATCGTCAGAAATTATTTACTTACTTGTCTTCTTATGAAATTGTATTTCAATTTGTAATTCACATTTCTTTTCTAATGTATTTAATATTGATTGTTTTGCATTATCATCGGTTCGTTCACCCCAAAGAAAACTACATGAGCAACATTTTGACATAATTTGTGATCTATTATAACCAGTTAATTCAACAAATCCATCAGAACAATATACGATAGGATAATCATGTACTTGTGCATTACCCAATACAAAATTACTATCTATAAAATATATAATAAAATGAATATTATTAGTAGTAAAGATTGTAAACATAAATGTATAATACGTATAATAGAAGAAAATTCATATTTTTAACTTCAATTTAAAAGATAAATCAATTGTGATTACATCTCAGTCCTACAGGAGGTTGGTGGTGGCTCGGATAGCTCAGTGGTAACGTCTCTGACTGTGAAGCCGGGTGACACGAGATCGAATCCGCCTAGGAGCACCAGTTCCCACAAGATTATAGGTACACCTTGTTGACGAGTGCCAAGTAGCACGAAGCCCGAGTCGTCAGGGTTTCTTGTCGACTATCTCCAACCAACATCTAATCTCAATATATAGTGCCTGCAATGTCTAGCTACCTAGACTGGTGGTCACATTGCAACATAATCGATAGCATTCGACCTGCACTAAATAAGGACTAGACATGCATGACATTGATCGCCACCTAGTGATCAATCAATTGTAAAAGATAAATACTGTATTTTGAAAGTTATATCATAGGATGACTGCAGTTAGACTAAATGAGAATAAGGAACCAGTGGAAATCTGTCTGGTTCCAATATGAAATTCCTCAGAAGTGTTGATTGACGTCTTCACGGCGGATCGATTGCTCAAGCTTCAAGTTCTGTAGTGAGTACTTAACTTCTAAATCATTGAGTTGGCATTTATTGATTTAGAATTCAATCGCCAATGAATTCGAGATATTGAGTGATAGTTATTTAATTATTATTATTATTTGTGGGTAAGTACTCCATTCTCCAATAACAACGATTCCTTTTTATAAATCTAGTAACTAGCTATCAAAAAGATATTTTGTTCACTTTCAGATTGATATTATTTTCGTCAGATCATTCAAATAAGTGATTGATATGACTAAATTAGATGGCAACTCGAACTGATGTACATACGTACAAAGTCCTACCTTGTTACTGACTGAGTGACTGAATGTCGATTAACTGACATGAAATACCAGGTCATGTTTCTCTGAAAATAAAATGTGATAGTGTATGCACATATTGGATATCTAAAAACTGATTGGTTAGTAATTAGTTAAAGGTGACAGTTGATAAGTAAAACGCCATTCATATTGATAACAAGGTATAACAAGAAGATTGTTTCAACTATGAAAGCCATCATCCACAAGATACAAGTGTTTATTAACAGTTGTCTACGCAAAATACTTCAGATCCGTTGGCCGGACACTAATAGTAACTTCATACACATAGTTCCCTTTATCATTTTGAAAAGAGCAAGAACAAAGATTCTAGCAGAATAGCATGAATTCATTTTATTTCGTAGGTTCTCGTCAGCTGCTTACAACCTGTGATATTTAAAAATCACAATTGCATAATGGATTTAAATTGCTTACAGAATATTGTAAATAAATACCTAATGTGAAAGAATATTCTACAACATTAATTGTGACAACAGATCAAAAGTGGGTTAGAAGCAATTGATTACATAAAATGAATTCATGCTATTCTGCTAGAATCTTTGTTCTTGCTCTTTTCAAACTAATAGTAACAACCTACTGTGGTAAAGAACAAACCAGACCCCAGCGGAGGAAGAAATCAGGAAGAATCGCTGGGAGTGGATAGGACATACATTGAGGAAAGCACCCGACTGCATCACAAGACAAGCCCTCACATGGAATCTTCAAGGCCAAAGGAGAAGAGGAAGATCAAAGAACACATAACGCCGAGAAATGGAAATAGACATGAGAAAAATGAACAAGAATTGGATGGAACTAGAAACGAAGGCCTAGGACAGAGTGGGTTGGAGAGTGCTGGACGGCGGCCTATGCTCCATTAGGAGTAACAAGCGTAAGTAAGTAAAGTAAGTAAGTATTACTATACAGAATAGTTAATTGAGTACAGTAATAAATTCAGGAAAACAAAACAAAAACATAAAATTGTTGTTCTGTTTAAAACACATAATATGTAATTTCTAGAATCTTGAATATTCATTTAAGAATATCATAAAACTAGATAAGAACTAATCCTTTCGGAAAATATTCGTTGTTTTACATTCTGGAACAAATTCCATAGTTAGGTAAATGAGGAGGAGAGATTGAAGGAAAATGGTTATGAGAAGATTTAGACTGATCAATTCCACTACTAAATAACAATGGAAAGATACAAGTAAACAATAACAAAAATCAATTTGAATTTCACCCTATTACACAAGCAAGTGATTATCAGGACTTAATAGCTAAGTGAATAATGTGACGGCGTTTCAAGCGAAAAGTATTGGGTTTGAGTCCCAGGGGGGAAAATCAACTCTGATATGCAGGTACATTCAGTTGACGAGTACCAAATAGGATGAAACACGCGTCTTGGATACCACTACTAATCACTATACAACATTGCACGAAATGAATGTTCTCAATTCCATTATAATTCATGATTACATTATAAATTTCTCTTTAATATTTTCTATTTTAAAACAATTTGATATGATTTATAACAACAAAATGACTTAAAACATTTTCATAGATACTCATGGTGATATTTGTTTTTGTTTTTTAAATTTTAAATTAAAGAGTATCATTTTCTACAATTATACATTGTATAGGTAGGATACATGTACATAGATTATACTTATCCATTTAATGTTGTCATAGCAACAAGAAAAACTCTTTTACTGAATTTATTATAGATTCTAGTCAATAGTGACGTAAATACACCATTTTTTGTATATAAGTTAATATAAACATAGCACATAACATATTTTTTTCCAACTAAATGCATGAATACCATAGTGAGTAAATAGTCTTATTGTTCTACTTATATTCTATATTAGTAATATTAAACATTATATCTAAGTCTAATAGAATAGTTTCGCAGTATTTAGTCACTGAGTTAATAATATAGGAGACATAAAGGAGAAAGAATGGCTTTGTAAAAAAGAACTCAGTGAATGAATGTATATTAAATCCAATGTTTTGCCTAGTAATCTGGTTTAAGCTCAGGGGATAACTGCTTGAGGCCGATAGCGAACGGCTTTTTTGTGGAAGGTTTTTGAAGTGTTAGCTCTGTTCTTTAAAGAGCCTTAACACCGGAGACGGAAATCTGTGAGGTAAGGTGAAGCGTGATATTTTCAGGCCCGACCTTTTCTAACCCTTTCCTTCCTTGTGAGAAGGCAGCACTGCTGCAGATGCTGGTTGTCCGGGGGAAACACCTTACTGTTGTCACACTCCTCCACAGTCAGCAATACGACTTCGTCCTCAGACCTTAAGTTGCTGCTTTAGTCTTACCGTTCTCCAATCGACCTGCCTGGCATGGTAGAACCTGCATAAACATATGTGCCAGCCAATATAACGCGGTCGGGTCATCATGATAGGCGAGCCCGACCACCACGTCAAGGTAGCAGCTACGGTCAGGGACTGAATCTGGTTTAAGCTTTTTCAAAGAAATATATTATCAAATATCAAAAATTATTGAATATAATTAGGTATAGTATTTTCTGATTCACTGTATACTAAACAGAATATCTAATCAACGTTAATAATGTTTAAATTAGGTATTCACTTCAGGGTATATAAGATATATCATTACGCTGAAAAATAGAGACAGATGTGAGATGAATGAACAATAATTGGATAGAACTAGAAAGGAAGGACCAGGACGGAACAGTTTAAAGAATTCTGGTAGGTGGCCTATGCTCTTTTAAGGGTAACAGGCGTAAGTAAATAAGTAAGTAAGTAAGTATAAGATATGTAATATGCAATGAAAAGCGTGTTAGGATAAGAGATTACTTGTATATGTAAGTGGATCTAAGTTGTGTGAATAGAAATTTCACTCATTATTTATCGCCTTAGAAGTGATTTTACAATTACATTCTTCTTCATTATATTGTAATCCCTGTTTCTCAAATGGTTTTTCTCTCTTGAAATTTAACCAAAATACAAGTATATTTTATATTATAGGTATAGATATATATAATTTATGGACGACCTTTGAGCGACTCCAAGGTTATCTTGAGAGTGTCTACCTACTTACTGACATCAGTTAAAATTCCAAGACGCTATTTGACCAAATAGATGGGTGAATTTCTTATGTGAAGCCGTGACAAGCGCTGTTCATTTATGTCGAGTATTAGGAATGTAGCCAGCAATGGCAACCAAAAATGGTCGCGCAATTAGGGGAATTTATTAGTTAGATATATAAACTACTGGACATGAACACAAGAGAAAAGGTGCGAAATATGGAAGAAATGCTTTACTCCCAAGGTTCCATGATGCATAAAAAACCTAGGGTTTTTTTTAGTGTCTTAGATAGCCTTAGGTTCCCCAAAAATTCTGGAACGCTACTAAACATCGTAGCAGTATAGGTAATCATCTAATCAGCAACTCGAAACATAACTTTTCACTTTCTAGATGTTTCTAGCAAAACGTCCTGTGAATGCTGATTAGATTAGATGCTTCTCAGAGTTTTGTAGCCTTTGTTAGCGCTTTTCGAGGAATTTTTTTGGATCTCCCTAACACATAGGTTCAATCAGCCGTCGGGTCACGGAACCGCATAATTGATGAGTTATATACTAGAACAAAGTAGCTACCCTGTCCTAGTTTCTAATTGTTAACTAACTTATACCGACTCGTGATCTTAACAACACTTAATAATCTCCACAATAACTTTATAAAGACAGTGAATATATTTCAGTGCACACAGAAAATTTATCATTGGAGTTTAGATTCCAAATATGTATGATTACATAACGTATTTATGTTCAGACTACTCATGACACAAAATTCTTTCTTATCAGAAGGGATTTTGTAAATATTATAGCAATTTCAGTGGTTGAGAACATGAGTGGATTGAAGCTAGACCACCATAGAAAACCTGGAAGCAACGAAAGGCACTGGACTGGATGTGTACTGCTGAGAAGTCTTACAATAGGATGAGACGGTCGTTCAGTAATTCCAGGTTTTCCATGGTGGTCTAGCTTCAATTGACTCATGATTTTAACTATTGAAACTTAATATTTGTACTAATGA